ACAAGGAACATGGGAAAAAACCAAGAAAACATAACACTGAAAAGCAACATCATAAATTTTCAGTTACTGCACCCTCCCCCCGCCCCCACAAAAGGAGATCTGTGAACTACCAGGCAAAGAATTCAAAATAACTGTTTTAAAGAAGCAGCAAGCTACAAGAGAACACAGAAAACTCAAAGAAATCAGGAAAACAATACATGAATAAAATGGCATGAAGAAATGGAAATCATAAAAAAACTAAAAGACATTATTGAGAGTTGAAGACTACAATGAATGTAATTAAAATGTAACAGAGAGCTACAAGAGGGCATTCCATCAAATATAAGAAATAAACAATAAATCTGAAGACAAATCACTTGAAATTATCCAGTCAGAGAAGAAAAAAGAATGAAAGAAGGTTAAGAAAGCCTATGAGATTTATGGAGATCACTAAAAAAAATTAAGAGAAAGAAGCAAAAAGCTAAAGAACTTAATGACTAAGAACTTCCCAAATCTTGGGAAGAAAATACACATCCAGATTCATGAGATTCAGAGGACCCCAAACAGTGAGTCAAAACAAGACTATACTAAGACACATTATAATCAAATTGTTAAAACTCAAGGACAGAGAATTCTGACAATAGCAAGAGAAAAGCAACATGACACATGTAAGGGAACCCCCGTAAGATTATCTGTGGATTTCTCAGCAGAAACTTTGTCGGCCAGGAAAGAGTGGGATGATATATTCAAAGTACTTAAAGAAAACACTCCCAACCAGAAATACTATATCCAGCAAAACTACCATTTAAAACCTGAAGCAGTGATAGTCTTTCCCAGACAAACAAAAACTTAGGGATTCAGTCACCACCTGACTTGCCTTATAAAAAATACTTAAGAAAGTTCTTAAAATTGAAATGAAAGCATGCCAAACTGCAATGCAAAAGCACATGAAAGCATAATTCTCACTGGTAAAGGTAAAATACATAAAAATGTAAGACAATAATGGTAGTGCATAAATACTTACACAATGGAATACTACACAGCGGAAAGAAAGAAAGAACTACTAAACTTCACGACAGCATGGATGGAACTAGAGAGCATTATGCTAAGCGAAATGAGCCAGGGGGTGAAAGACAAATACCATATGATCTCACCTATAAGCGGAACCTAACCAACACTACAAAGATGCAAGGAAAATAAGACCCGCAACACTGAAAGGAAAAGAAACCAACAGAGACAAGAGGGACGGGGGGAGGGGGACGGGGGAAATGGAAGAGAATGGGAGGGTTGGGGAACTTGTAGCAAGGTGTCATGGACAAAACCAAAGGGGAAGGATTTGGCGGAGGGAGGTGGTGGGGAGAGGGCAGAGACAAATGTATTTGAAAAAATAAAGAAAATAAATTAAATGAAAAAATAAATTACTTTAACCCTAATATAAAAGTTAAATGATGAAAATTTATTAATGAATACACAATATAAAAAGAAGCAAACTGACTACAAGAACACAAAGTGGTGGTAAGTAAAACTATACCACTTTTGTGTACAACTGAGGTTAAGTTAGTAACAACTTCAAATAGACAGCTGTAACTACAAGATATTTTATGCAAGAGATAACCATGAAGATAAAAACCTATAACATATTCAAAAATAGAGGAAAAAATCAGAAAATCATTACAAAAAAATAACAAAAAGAAGACAAAAGAGGGGAAGAGATGTATAAAGCAACTGCAAAACAGACAGAAAACAATGAATAAAATGAAAAGAATAACTCCACACGTCACTAATTACTTTAAATGTATTAAACACTTCAATCAAAAGACACATAGTGGCCAAATGGAATAAAAAGAAAAAAACAAGATCCAGTGACATACTATCTATAAGAGACCCACTTCAGATTTAAGTACATGTATAGGCTTAAAGTAAAAGGATGAAAAGGATATGTCAAATAATAACCAATAGAAACTTGGGGTAGCTATACTTAAACAAAAGAGAATTTTTTTATCCTCACTCAAGGACATTTTTTTCATGCCTTTAGAGAGAGAGGAAGCACGGGTGGGGGAAGAGAGAGAGAGAGAAACATTGATGTGATGAAAGAAAGAATGATTGGTTTCTTTCTCGTACACAGCCAGACAGGTATCAAACCCATGACCTGGGTACGTGCCCTGACTGGGAATCAAATCTGTGACTTCTTGGTGATGGGACGATGCTCCAACCAACTGAGCCACACCAGCCATGGCAACAGACAAGAGAGACTTTAAGTCAAAAACTGTCTCTAAAGACAGGTCATTACATAAAGCTGAAAAGTCAATTAAACAGAAAGATATTATAATACTTATAAGTATATATGTACCCAACAGAGCACCCAAATATACAGGGTCTGGCAGAAGTAACACCTGCTTGAGTGTGGTTGGTAGGGTAATAATATCAGTGTAATAATTTACAGTTTTATTTTGAACATTTCACCTAAAATGTCCTATGATGTGCTTGAGTGTGACGTTGTTATGTTACAGAATTACATGCTTATGATTTTGTAATAAAAAGGGAGCATTATTTGTGCTTGCTCCTGTATAGAGCAAAAATCAACAGATCAGAAAGGATATACTGACAGAAATACAATAGTAACAGAACACGTCAATACCTCATTTTCAGTAATAGACAGACTATCTAGGCATAAAATCAATAAAGAAACACCTGACTTCAACATTATTATAAATCAAATGGACCCAACAGGCATATAGAGAACTTACTACACAACAGTAAAACAATATACTTTATCCTCACGAGCACATGTAATATTCTCCAGGATATATCAAATGTTAGATCTCAAAAACAGTCTTAACAAATTCATGAAGACTGAATTATTCCAAGTATCTTTCCTTACCACAGTAGAATAAAACTAGCAACCAGTAACAATAAAAGAAAATCAGTAACAGTAAGAAAGCAGTAACAAAATTCACAAATACACAGAAAGTAAATGACACATTCCTGAATAATAGTTATATCAAAAGGGGGAAATTTAAAAAGTATCTTTAGACAAGTGATTCTATATACAAAAAAAAAAAAAGGAAAAATTTTTTTAAAGAAACAATGGAATTCAAAATAGCAATAAAAAGAACATATTTAAAAATAAATTTAACCAATGTAGTAAAAGAACTGTACGGTGACTATTATAAAACATTGATGAAGGAAATTTGAAAAGACAGATCAATATAAAAACATCCTGTGTTCATGGATGCAAGAATAGTTAAAAAATATCCACATTACTCAAAGTAATATGCAGATCCAATGCAATCCCTATCAAAATCACAATGTTAATCTCTAAAACCCTGAATAATCACAAAAAAACCCTGAATAGCCAAAGCAATTGAGCAAGATTAATAAAACGGGAGACATCATACTTGATTTCAAAATATATTTCAAAACTGTAGTAATCAAAACAGGATGATACTGGCATAAAAAATATACATATTGACCAATGAAACAGGATAGAGAACCTAGAAATAAATCTATGGCCAAGTGACCTTCAACAACAGTGCCAAGAATAGATAATTAGGGAAGAGCAGTCTTCAATAAATGGTGTTGGACAGCCACATTCAGAAGAGTGAAATTGGACCATTACCTCACACCATACACAAAATCTTACATCATCACAAAAATCAACTTAAATGGATTAAAGACTTAAACATATAACCTGAAACAGTAAAAATACCAGGAAAAAAGTGGGAAAAGAGCTTTCTGACATTAGTCTAGGCAATGATTTATTTTTATTTTTATTTTTTTGGCTATAACACCAAAAGCACAGGCAACAAAAGCAAAAACAGGCAAAGGGAATTATATAAAACTAAAAAGCTTCTGCACAACAAAGGAAATAATCAACAGAGTGAAAAGACAATCTACAGAATGAAAGAAACATCTGCAAACCATATATCTGATTAGGGGTTAATATCCAAAATATATACGAAATTCATATATTTAATAGCAAAAACAAAATCCACAAAAAAACAACAAAGCCATCAAAAGTGGGCTGAGGACCTGAATAGACTTTTCTCAAAAGAAGACACACAGATGTCCAACATATATGAAAATGTGCTAGACATCAATCATCATCAGGGAAATGTAAATCAAGCCCACAATGAGGTTTCACCTCACACCTACTAGAATGGCTGTGATAAAAAAGACAGGTAAGTTGTTTGTGAAGATGTGAAGAAATAGGAACTTTGTACCACCTTAATCAGACTAAAGAAAGAAAGTTTATCATCTGCTTAACCAAGTCCACATGACGGTATGAATTACCTGTTTAGGTAATCCTTCCATTGTAAAAATATATTTTGCTCTCTGTAGTTAAAGTTATCCATAGGATGATACTTGGAACTCATGTGAGTATCTTCCCCCTAACAATCCTTATTTTACTTTTTAATCTCATTTTAGTGCTTAATGTTTTCCCTACGGAATGTAAGCTCCACAAGGGTAGAGATTTTTGTCCTTTTTATTCATTGCTGTATCCCCAGTGTTTAGAAGAGTGGTTGGCACACAGTAGACCTTCAATAGATATATATTAAGTGAACAATCATTAGTTGTACACCTCTGTATTTTCTATGAGACTGTGAACAACTTAAAGGCAAACATGTTTTTTTCATCTTTGTATTTACAGAAAATAAGCACATTACTTAGCAAATAATAATGACTCAATTAATGTTATTTTAAACTTTAAGGACTGTGGATGAATCTGCCATAATGTACAGGCCTGCCTTATTTTCCTCATCTATAAAGTATTAAAAACAATACATGTCTAATTATATTACATATCTAAAATAATGGAAGTTATTTTAATATTTTTTAAAATAAAAAATAAAGTAAAAATCCTTCCATTTGATATTCAAGACTAACGGAAAAAAGTACTAATATATTATATCATATATGATTTTTGTTAGCTTTTCTTTGCTAGCTTAAATGTTTAATGATATTTTACTGACACAATGCTAAAATACCAAATTACTTTTTAAACAATACTATTACTTTACCTGTAATGTTTTTAATGTTTCCTTTAATCCTTCTATTTCTTTTTCTTTTATTTCTGTAGCAAGCTGATATTTTCCCTTTAAGTAAAAAACTATATTTCAGTACTTTCCAATGAAATGATATTATTAATGGGGAAATATAAGAGCTCAAGAACCAAAATCTCTACTTTAAATGTAATATTTCACAGGCTTTACACGTGTATCTGCACGACAACTTAAATCTCTAATGACTTCAAAATATTGTAAAATTACAGTAAGTCCTTTGTAAGATTATATATATGTCATGAAATGGAAAATCTTATAACAGTAAGTAATTTTATCAATAGAACGTTTCTAAGAATTTATGGATACTGTATAATTACCTTATTTTGCCATGTATAATGTATACATTTTTGCCCAAAGTTTTGAGGGAAAAATAAGTATGCATATTACACATGGGTAGTACCTGAAATATCTTGTATCTATGCTTGTCTTTTGTAATTATTTGTTACATAAAATTTCTTGTACCATAATATGTTCAAAAATAAATGCTAAAATTCCTTTATAACAAAAAACAAGTATCTAAATATAAGTAAATAAATAATTGAATTTAAAAATTGAAACAAAAAGATTTTTTTTCTTGAAAGTTTGGGCCAAAAACATGGGTGCTCATTATACATAGGAACACATTATGCATGGCAAAATATAGCATGTATTTAAATCATATAGGTAGAATAACTATATTTTAATAAGATACAGGTATAATTGTCTTATAAGGATATGGGAAAATTTTTAAACGGTCTTACTAAAAATAAACTATAAATTATTAATATTATAAATAATATGCTCATTGATATACTCAAAATATGTATTAACTGTTAGCTAGATAAAATATTTAATGCCAGATTAATTTCTAGGATTGTTTGAAATCGTGTCCTTTTTTTCCCAGTTAGTCAGCAACCAAATGCCGTATCATTTTAATTTTTTTTAAAACAAGGTAATTACACTGGAAAAACACTAAAAATATATTATACTTAATAGAAACATAAAGGATCATTGATTTGGGGGCCGAAGAGATCTGAATTCTAGTCCCAACTTTACCACTGGAAAATGGGAGCTTTAACCTCAGCAAGTCATTTAATCTTGTTAGTTATCAGTGTTCTTAATTGTAAATAACAATGGTCAACTAACATGATTCCCCACAGTCCTTTCTGTTTCTAAGATTTTAAGCAATTAACAGTTTCCATTAGTGTATAACTAATGCTTCTTTCCATTATGGGGAACAACTGATACTTAAATACACTTAACTATGCTTTAAATTATTAACAAATTAATTTATACCTTTTCTTCTTCCATGGCATACATCTTCACTTGAAACTAGAAACAATTTTAAAAATTAAAATATAGGTAAGTAAACTGTTAACAGTGATTTACACTGGTCAGAATACAGATATATTTTACATGCATGTCATTTGAACTTAAAATAATGTGAATATGCTACTTTTACACTGAGAAAATAAAGTATTAAAACATATGAAAGTGAGAAAAAAGCCAGTCACCAAAGGAAATGAACAATTTAATCACACTGATCAGGAGGTGACAATCATACTTGAAAGTTTAGTTTTGCCCTCCAGAAGTTTTTTTCTTAAATATTTCAGTAATTTGTCATTTACTCAAAAATAATATTTTCTAAGGACTAACTTTTATGAAATCAATACCATTTGTATTTGCACTGACAATATTTTCTAAAAATTTTAAAATGCATCTGGCAGTCTAACAAATAAGGACATTTTAAATATGGAAAACTCAAGTGAACAGGCCAAAGAAAACTAAATATTCTAAGCAATACAAGGATATTAGGCAAAGTTATCAGGAAATAAATTTTTTCTTTGGAATTTTTCAAATTTCTCATTACATTCAAAAATTCTTTCTTTAAAAAAAAAAAAAGACAGAGCCCTGGCTGGTGTTGCTCAGTGGACTGAGCACCAGCCTGTGAAACAAAGGGTCGCTTGCTGGTTCAATTCTCAGGGCACATGCCTGAGTTGCAGGCCAGGTCCCCAACAGGGGGAGCTCGGGAAGCAACCACACATTGATGTTTCTCTTCCTCTCTTTCTCCCTCCCTTCCCCCCTCTCTAAAAATAAATAAGATCTTTTTAAAAAGAAAGACAGAAAACAGAGAAAGAAGAGCCCAAGAGCACTTTCTCCTCTATTCTTCAGATACCTAGATATTCTTATCTTGCTCAAAGTCCCTGTGGTAACAGAGACAAAGACTTGCTCTCTCCTAGAGAAGACTATGATGTACATTTGGCTTCTGCTTCCTTACCCTTGATGAAAACTCCCATAACTTTGGTGATGCCAATCTCAGACTAAAAGAAAAAAAGTTTATCATTTGCTTAGATAAATCTATGCTACAGTGTGAACCACCAATAACCTTAACCCACGAGTGATTTATGTTGTATAGGCTTATTTCTTCTAATACATTTGTTTTTCTAAACACATACACCTATATAGAGACGAAGACCCAAAAAAAAGGAATTAAAAAAAAAAAACAGTGATGGTGGAAATGTTGTAAGAAGAAACACTTCCAGAGGATATTTTCATGAGCACATTTCTTACACTTATATTTATTTTCTAACCAGGGACTGAAGAGAAATTTGAGGTTGTAAAGAAGAGCTGAAGAATTCAAAATAACAAAGGAATTGCTATTCGATTCTTTAAAAATATTTTTCTTTTCCTTATTTTCTCTTCTTCTACTAGTCTTTCTTAGTTGCTGATGGTTAATATTCATTGAGGGCTTCAGTGCATGATAATCACATCCCTTCATCTTTTACATCTCCCTACTTGCATCTGGCTTGGGTAAAGAGTAATGTGGAAAGGTCCTAGGATACTCTAATTAAACAGAGAAAGAGGAAAAAAGAGAGACAGAGCATGCATACCACTACCCTAATTTATTTAAGACAGGTGACAACACATTTCCAAGGAAAATAGTTTTCCCAATTTCTCTCCATAACTCATTCTACCTCATTATACTCTTTATTATCAATTATGATTCAAAATAACTTCATTCATTTCCTGCTTTCAATAATACCTTTTTTTCCCTTCATTGACTATGGAGAACTTAACAATATTAGTGAGCAGGGGAAAGTGCAATATTTAAAACCATAGTGTTTGTCTATCCTTATGAAATTACCTGCTTTTTAAAAACTGCCATTGCTTCTTTGTGTTGCTTTGTTAATGTTTCCTTTTGATTCTGAAGAGTTTCCTATTTTAAAAAATGATGAAAAATTAAAATAAATTCTAGCAATTCTTTCAGTTTTAAATTGTGGTTAGATTCACTACTTAAAGTTAAACATATTTATTGCATTTATAATTTCATGTTCATAAAATACAACTTGAAGCCAATTTATGACTTTTTCACTGTCATGGAATAGGCATACAGTAATTTTGCTTCCAGTTGGTTCTTTATGATAAAATGCATTACTGTTTAAATTTTTAAACTCTAAACATGGCTTGCTCCAAGCTTTTTTTCAAGAAAATATTTTTCATCAAAAGTTATTAAAACTAGCACTGCTCATATACAAGCAGACTATAATCTTAAGAGTTTCCAAAGAAACCAATTTTATTATCTAAGCACAAATGTTCACATAGCAACATGTAATTCCTTAAATTCATAGAAATAAGTTCTTAGAAAAATTACCACAGGGCATTTAAAATTTTTCTTATTTCTCAATCACAGTTTACATTCAATATTACTTTGATTAGTTTCAGGTGTACAGCATAGTGGTTATATAAGGTTATATATATAAGGTCCGTCCAGAAAATATCCAGCCAAGTGCAATGAAAAAGACATTTATTGAAGAAGATACAAGACACAAGAAACACTGCATGTAGGACAATAACACCTCAGTCCCCTTCAAAGTAGGCACCTTGGGACCTCACACAGTTCTCCTAATCACCATCAGCTGTCCCGTCGTATTTTCCTGAATCTCATTGACGGTCTGAAATCTCTTCCCTTTCAAAGGTGATTTTAGTTTTGGAAAAGCCTGAAGTCACAGGGCACCAAATCTGGGCTGTATGGGGTCTCAGTCACCTGGATGATTTGATGTTTCACAAAAAAACTCTACACAGAATGTGATGCATGAGCAGCTGTGTAGTCATGATGAAGCTGCCAGTCACCAGTTGCCCATAGCTGCAGCCTTCTGAATCATCCAAATAGTTTCCTTGGAGAATGTCCAACCTTAATGCAAAATTTGATGCATATTTGTTGCTGTACTTGCTCAGTCATTTTGAATGTGCTCACTCAATGGCATCTACTGTCCCCACTGACTAGTAAAGCCGTCATTGTTCATGCCTGCACATTCCAGTCCACTCTTCTTGGCTGCCAGATTACATCGATGTGCAAACTATTCTTATTATATTATCAACAGTTGGACTTTTTCCAGACAGACCTTGTATTTTAAAAAGTGTTCCCCCTGATATTTCAGGTACTCACCTGGCACCATACATAGTTATTGCAAATCATGGACTATATTACCTATGCTGTACTTTAAATCCCCATTACTATTCTGTAACTACCATTTTGTACTTTTTAATTCCTTCACCTTTTTCCCTAATCCCCCAACTTCCCTCCCCTTTGGCTACTATTAGTCTTTCTTCTTATCTATGAATGTTTCAATTTTGTTTGTTTGTTTTTCTGTTCTTTAGAGTTCACAAATAAGTGAAATCATATGGTATATGTCTTCCTCTAACTGACTTATTTCACTTAGCTTAATGCTCTCTAGATATATCCATGCTGTCATAAATGTTAAGATTTCATTCTTTTTTATGGCCAAGTAATATTTCATTGTATATAATATGTATCACCACTTCTTTATCCACTCATCTACTGATGGGCACTTGGGTTGCTTCCATAGCTTGGGTATTGTAAATAACACTGCAATTAACATAGAGGTGCACATGTTCTTTCAATTTAGTGTTTTGGGTTTCTTTGGATATACTCAGAAGAAGAATGGCTGGATCATAAGGCAGTTCCATGTTTAATTTTTTGAGGATCCTCTATACTATTTCCCATAGTGACTGCACCAATCTCCATCCCCACCAACAATTCATGAGGGTCCCCTTTTCTTCACATCCTCATCAACACTTGCTTGTTGATTTACTGATGATAGTCATTCTGATGGGTGTGAGATGACATCTCATTGTGGCCTTAAATTTGCATTTCTCTGATGATCAGTAACAATGAGCATCTTTACATTTTATGTCTCTTAGCAATCTGTATGTCCTCTTTGGAGAAACGTCTATTCAGGTCCTTTGTTCATTTTTTAATTGGATTGTTTGTTTTCATGGTACTGAGTTGTATAAGTTCTTTATAAATTTTGGATATTAACCCCTTATCTAATGTACTACTGGCAAATATCTTCACATTCAGTAAGTTGTCTCTTGTTTTATTGACAGTTTCCTCTGCTGTGCAAAAAAATTTTAGTTTGATGAAGTCCCATTTATTTATTTTTCTTTTCTTTTCCTTACCCAAGGAAATGTATCAGAAAAAATACTGCTGACCCATAGACATGAACAATGGCAGGGGGAGCGATTATAGAAGTGATGGGTGGGCTGGGTGGAGGGGGACAAAGGGGGAAAAAGTGGGACAACTGTAAGAGCATATACCATAAAATATAAAAAACAAATAAAAAATATTGCTAAGAGGAATCACTTTACTACAGGGCATTTTTGGGAAAAAAATCTACATATATGATTCCATTTCTTTTTTTTCTTCCCTCTCCCCCCTTTTTTGGTAGAAGCTGTATGTTCTGTCCTTCAGATTCAAGATGATGTTACATTTTTTCTTCTATTTCAATCAAATAATTCTCATAATTTAAAAAGATTAGATCTAAAGTAGCAGCCACTTTCAAATATCTGTTATTTGACTCCATGTTTCTAAATATATATTTATTTAACAACTTAAAAAAATTATCTACTGATCTTCTATTATGACAGCTGGGAGTTTAGCTTTCTTGTACAACCATCACCCTACATCCCTTCCCTCTACTCTTCCAACAGAATTATATAAAAGGTGTGGCTTAACTCAATAGTCAGTATTTATACCATTATGACTATACAATTTTTATTCAATGTAGAGCTATCTAGTATACCACAATTACACTTCTGTTCTCATAGAAGTTTTTATTTTTCCTGCAGCTAGCAATTACTTTAAAATACTTTAATTCTCATAGCTAATTTTTAATAATTATCCTCTGTCATCTAATTCTTATATGTTACCTTCCGTACCTGTTTCAATGTTGCCAGACAATGAGAAGAAGGTGTTATAATTAATCTTTCAGTTTTTAGTTGTTAAGGTTGCTTCGGTGGAAAGGCATGAAAAGCACTATAAAAATGCTTTTACATGAATAAGGCTAGAGAGAAAACCAGATCTGATACTCTTTTCTATATTTGGTTACAGTATATAACAACAACTTATGGAAACATGGTACAGTTCTGAGGTTTCACTTTAAAAATATTTTGACTCCTCTATAACACAATATATTTCTCAGATATGAAATAGTTCACAGATTTCAGCATTACACTCAGTGTTATTCTTAGCTATTTTCTTACCAGAAAATATTATTCTCAATTTTCAGGAAGCCCAAATGTTAATAGTTTTAGCTGGAATTTTCTTGAGACTTTGTTTAAAATGATGCCCATGTTTAGGAAATTTAAAAATTAACTTTGCACTTAAAGATTAGAATACTTTTCTAAATAGATGCTAAAAATGCTAATCTGAGAAAACATACTCACATTTTGCCATTTCAGTTCTTCTGTCTCCACAATAATTTTACCAATCTGCTCTTCATATTGAATTTCTGCTTCCTAAGTCAAAAAGAAGAAGGAGGATGCTAGGAAAATTAGGACTTTAAATCTTCCAGGTTTAACTCTTTCCTATAGAGGTAAAAAAGAGCATCTTCCCACCCTTACAACAAGAAAAAAGCTGGGCAAATTGCAAATTAAACAGACAAACATATAAGAAAAAAGAAGTCTCAGACCAACCAAGTCAAGCAAAATATGGATTGACTCAGGTGCCTGCTGGGAGAAAAAACCACAGTATTTGCTTACCTGGGACTTAAGCTACTGAGTACTGATAAGAAACCTCAGCTAAAAGAACTTAATAAACTGCTAAAGGCAGAATGTGGGCTAGTGTAAGAATGCGAACCCCATGAGGGCCTCAGAAATAAGGAGATTTATACCTTCAACCAGGCTTTTTTTCCAGGAAACCAACCAGGTACTTATAAGTAAGAATGAGAAAAAACCCTCAGCAAGCTTTCTCTCGTGGTACTGGCTGGGAGAAAAGCAATTATAAGCCATATTCCCTATTTCTCCTCTACCCCAAAAAACTTAATCTGCAGGGGAAAGGACAACAAAAAACTACAGCTAAGGACACTACTGGAAACCCTCTGCAACAAGGAAGGGAAACCAACAGCCACCACTGAAAACTCTATATAGATAGACCTGTCTTTCTTATCTTCCCTAAAGAACATAAGCCTAATCTACAGGGGGAAGGGCAATAAAAACTACAGCATGACAGAGCCTGTGGAACACGGAACAAGGAGGAGAAAACTAGGAAAATAAAACAGCTCTAGGAGGGGCAGGAATACATACTAGGTCCAGGATTAAATACGAAGGAGGGATTAAAACTCTTGTGAAGACCCCACCCTGACACTTAGGGTTAATAAGACCCTAAGTCAGGGGGCAAGGCCCAAAGCCAGGCAGAAAATGTAGAAAAATCTTCTTTTTTATTTAAAATAATGTATTAATCCAGAATTAGCCCATTCCATAAATATAAGGTATCGCTAGTGAAATCTAAAGCTTCTGTTGAAAACTTCAACAGTCAGACTTGCAAACTGCCTAGTTGAGGGTTGAAGGTGTGCCCCAACAAATATGCAGAGTGCCCTTCTGCAAAGACAGGGAGTTTTTTTTTTCTTTTGGTTCCATGTATGTAAGGGAATCTCTTTCAAACAAAGTACTAGCTGATAATGAAGCTAAGAGCATAATAACTCCAGTGGCCACATATGACAAAAACTGCAGACTTTACAAAATTATTTCAGAAAAATCAAAAAACAATGACAATAAGCAGCAACCTTGATGAGGAGGAGGAATCCCATTTCCAGAGTTGCCACATATTCAAAATGGTCATGTCTAGTTTTAAACAAAACATTGCAAAGCATGCAAAGAAACAGGAAAATGTGGTCCATACACAGGGAAAACAATGAACAGGAACTGTCCCTGAGCAAGTGCAGACTATGGACTTGTTAGGCATCGACTTTAAAACAACAACTTTAAATATGCTCAAAGAGCTAAAAGAAGCTACATACAAATATACTGCAGCCATTAAAAAGTTCTTAAGGAATACTACTAACAATTTTATGCCCACAAATTTGACAACTTACAGAAATAGATCAATTCTTCAAAAACCATAAACTACCAAACCTCAACCAAGATGATACAGACCTATAGTCATTAACTTAAAAGCTCCTAAAAAATAAATTTCCAGGCCAGATGGTTTCACTGAACAATTCTACCAAACATTTCAATCAACACTACTTTGACACAGCCTCTTCCAGAAAAATACAAGAGAAAGGAACACACTGCAACTTCTTTTTGAGGCCTGTTTACTGTGACACCAAAACCAGACAAAGACAGTACAGAAAAAGAGAACCAATATTTCTGATAACTTTTGACCAAAAAATTCTCAATACCATATTAGAAAATTGAATCCAACAATGTATAAAAAATTATACACCATGACCAAGTAGAATTTATTCTAGGTATGCAAGACTGGATCAACAGTTGATCAAATTCACCATAACAATGCTAAAGAATAATAATCATATGATATTAACTGACACAGCAAATACATTTAACAAAAACCCAAGAGTCATTCATGATTAAAACTCTCAGCTGAGTAGGAATAGAAGGAATTACCTCAATCTAATAAAAAATATTTATAAAAACACTACATTTAATACATTTAATGATCAAAGACTAAATGCTTTTCTCTAAGACCAAGAACAAGACTGGGATATTTACTCTCACTGTCCTTATTCAACATACTACTGGACTCCTTGCTACTGCAATAAGGCATGGATAGATATTTGAATAGACAGACAGTAACTGGGAGAGCAACGGGGTCGGTGGAGACGGAAAGGGAAAGAGAGAAAAGAGAAAGAAAAGATCTAACCTAAGAAGTAAATTGTCTCTACTGGTAGATGACATAGTTGTATATATAGGAGATCTCCAGGAATCTCTTTTTTTTTTTAATCTCCCATAACTAATAAAAGAGCCCAAAAAGGTCATGGGACAAGATGAACACCTCCCCAAAAAATCAATCACATTTTTAAATACTAACAATAAAATGCAGTAATTGAAATTAAAAGTACAACACAAAAACATAATCACTCCAGAGAAAATAAAATAGGTATATACACTTAAACATACGTACAGCTCTGTATGCTGATACACAAAACATGGATGAATTAAAAACATTATGCTGAGGGAAAGAAGCCTTACCTGAAAGAGTACATACTGTATGATTCCATTTATATGAAATGTTAGAAAAAACAAAACTAATTCAGTATAGAAAAAAGTCAAAAGAGAGGTTGCCTCAAAAGGGCATTAGGGAACTTTCTGGGTTGATGGAAACATTTTATATCTTGACAATGGCTTGTATTATACGAGTGTATACATATCAAAACTCATTTAATGTACAGTTAAGATTTATGCCTTTTACTGTATGCTAATTTTACTGTGGGAAAAAAGCTGTAAACAAGTACTGAAACTGGCTTAATGACACGCATGCTGAAGTATTTAGGAGGAAATGCACCGATGCCTGCATTTTACTCTGAAATCATCAAAAATGAAGGGAAAGGAGCAATAAATAAACAAAAAGCTATGTGATAAAGCAAATATAATAAAATGTTAATGGTGAATGAGTGTTCACTGTAAAATTCTTCCAGTTCTGTTTCATGTTTGACAAGTTTCATAACAAAATGTCTGGGAGACATCAAAGTGAACACTAGCAGATAAAAATGTTTTTTGTTACGAAATCTTTTTCTTATGACTCTCTTACATGTTCCTTACTTGATTATATACACACATACAAATTTATGCTAAGCTATTCAAAGATAAACCCTCAAGAAAGTTATTTCATTTAAAATGCTTTCAGCAGCAAGTAGCAACAAGAACAAAACCCAACTCACAATGGCTAATGGAACTTACCTCACATGACTGGTCTAAAGGCAGAGTGCTTCAAGGATTAATTTTCAGTGACTCAACAATATCATCAAGGACTATGATTCTGCCCATCTTTACATTTTGCCACTATCTGAGTGATTTTCCTTAGGTTTTTCTCCCTCTCGGCTACTTTAATTGCAAACATTAAGGACAGGAAGGACCTTTTCTCATTAGCCATAACATGCCAACTCCTAAACCAGGCACTGGCAGGGCAAGTGACTAGACCTTTATGAGTGGTTAACTCCTGTCAGGATTTACCTGACACACTGGTGAGAGGCAGGTCCTAAGATACAATCAGGATTCTTCCAGTATGGAATAAGGAAAGGAATGTATACCAACAGTAATAAATATCTATAGTCAAAAGATATTGAAAATGGAAATAAGTGTATACACATTTGAGGGGAGGTACCTACAGGGTATGGCAAAGGTAGGTTTACAGTTGTTCATATGGAAAATACAAAACTAATAAATACTACAAGAATAAACTTTGTGCTTTGCATACTTGCAACTGTAAACCTACTTTTGCCCCACCGTGTACAACATGTATGTCTTCCCAAAGGAGTAGAATTGAAAATGTGCAAGATACTGCTTCTTCATGTGGACCTGGTTATACACTTCTCTTTTAATGGCTAGGATGGGTTCTGCAATCTTACTATGATTTAAATATTGTTCTAATCACTTTTATGCATTGATTAACTTAATCTTAGGTGTAATTTTATGAGGTCAGTACTCTTTACCATCACCATTTTGTAGGTGAAGAAACTGGGTTGGCAAGAGGATAAGTAACTTACCTAAAGTCATATACTAGGTAAAAAGCAGAGCCAGTATTTGAACCTAGATGATCTGTCTCTTTTACACACAGTATATATTACCTTTAAAAGATTGTGAGTTCACCCTAGCTGGGTTGCTCAGTTGGCTGGAGCATTATCTCTATACACCAAAGAGTTGCATGTTCAATCCCCACCATCAGGGCACAAATCTAGGTTGCAGGTTCGATCCCCAGTTGGGCTACATATGGGAGGCAACCAGTCCATGCTTCTCTTTCACATCAATGCTTCTCTCTCTCTGTCAGTTCTCTCTTTTTCCCCCTTCTCTCTTCCCTCTTCTCCCTCCCTTTCTGTCTTCCTCTCTCTCTCTCAAATCAGTGAAAGTATCCTTGGGTGAGGATTTAATAAAAAAGATTATGGGTTCTGTAGGACTATATGTATTATGATATATACTCCTTAACTTCAAAACTTCAGAATTTAATCTTCCTCTCCCACCAAAGTTAGAAAGCCACCCAAAATCATATTACCTATTTTAAACATACAAGTATATTCTGATTATTTGATAGGACATTTCAAAAAATATAGAAATATTTTTTGCATGGGAAGGTAGAATTTTAAGAATTGCTATGAACTAATATTAGTATTTTTATATTTCAGAAATCATTGTAATAGATTAAGTTGACTAATATGAAAACAGTAGTTTAAATACTAATTAGAAGAGATGTTCTAAACTATGAACTTTTAGGCTATCCCATGCATATTTGAAATATTTATCTAGAATACTTTGTAGCTAAACAAACCAAAAGGCTATCTGAA